GCTGCATATTGTCCTCTCTGTTACCCTCCCTGACCCTTCATTAAGGCTGCTCTGCCTATATCCGATAGTAAGTTATGTAACATTAATGTATAGAAATGTGTAAGACAAAATATTAATGCATTTAGGAATAAAACTCAAATTAGCAAAGTGTAATGTTTAAGTAAAATGATTCCTTGAAAGGAGGAATTGTAGGGGATAAAAATTGTGGGGATAAAATGCAATACCTGATGTGGCCTTCAGAATGAGAGTATTGTGCACCTCCGTCAAGCAACTCCTGCAGCCAAGCTGGTACCAGATGTACTGCTTTCCTTTCCTTTGCATGGCCAAGAGGGGGGTTCTTATCATCTGGGCAGCCCAGGATCTCCATACACACTGCCCAGCCTTGCTCCCTAGAGAGGTCACTTGGGTGCTGCAAACGCAGGAAAAACAACGTTGGAGGCAGCATATACGAGTTATAGACTCAACCTGATTGGCATAATGTACGAGTACTACAGATTGCCTTCATCAGTGAGCGAGACACGATGGAAAAGACATGTCTCACTGTCTGCCTCCTTCAATGGGTGCTTGGAGCTCAGTGTATCACTCGACAAGTGGACCGAACTACTGCACCAGGTAAAACAGAAAAGAAACAAACCCTCTTGTGGCTAGCAAGTTGAAGCATCAGGACCATGTGTCCTGGCTTGTTCACCTACCTGCTGGCAAAGGAGTGTATCATGAGAAACCATGTATTCAAGCCTCAGTCTTTGCAGTGAGAAATTCCCTTCTATCTGTGATAGCACTGCTGACCAAAGACTCAGAACACATGCTTTCCCTCCACCTCTCAATCACCTCCAATCCAGTTAACATACTGAGCCTCTATACTCCCACTATGTGCTCTGACAAACAAACCAAGGGCCAGTTCTCTGAGGAACTAGACCAAGCTGTGAGAAAGGTCCCACCTATTCCTGCTGAGAGATTTCAGTGCCAGAGTTGGGATTGGTCATCACACGTGGAACCCCTGCATAGGCTACTATGATATTGGCAGCGTGAACGAGAACAGACAAAAGCTTCTTGAGCTGTGCTCATATCACAGCCTCTGAATCATGAACACATTCTTCTCTACCAAGGCAAAACATACAGTGTCTTGGAAACATCCAAAGTCAGGCGACTGGCACCAGCTGGATTTGATGACATACTACAACTCTTGATTTAAAACAGGATTAAAAATGAGATTATTGCTAGTGTTATGTAATTCTGTTTCAGTTAATAAAACATAATTTTTGTAATTCACACTTTCCTCTAATGCATGCATTTTTGTAAACACAGTTTAGCTAGAGAACTGCACCAACAAACTCAGACAAGTGTAAATTTTGACAAGTGTAAAGTTGTGTGGTAGGCATATTGTTTTAGAAAACGCAGATTTGATAGATTTTCATATCATTTCTCCCCCATTCCTAGTTGCCATAATAAATGCCTCACAACCCGAAGTGTCTACTAGAGGAGTATGATGTTGCTGCTTGAAGAGCAGGCATTGTCATTTAATGTTTTGTTTTATGTGTGTGTGTGTTTGCATGAGGTCCACCAAGAGGATGACACAGCAGGTACTTCTATCCTGGGCCTAGACACCGTGCTTCTATTTTAAAGTAACCCCAAAGTCTCTAGACCTTGTAGAATGAGAGTTATGAATGGAAATGTGCAGTCCCCATTCAACACAAAAAGGAAGGCATGAGTCTGCTCCTACTATTTAGTGTTTTCAGCCAATGAGTGAAGTCACAGCTATGATTCACAAATGCCGTGAAGAAGTTAAATACAGTCACACATGTATCAGGAAAGACTTTTTAAAAGGTCCAAAATGATCCAGGAAGTTTCTTATCCACACAATGTAGAAGGAACTCCCAGATTCATTTTAAAGCAATGGCTAATGGGAGTTGTAGTCCAAGTATTTGGATGCCACTGGATGGGCGAAGGCTTCTATGTGGTTATGCGCTTGTTGCTCTTCCACATTATTCTTTTGTTGGTCTTCTTTCTAGAATTGAGGAACTGGTCTCAAAAAAAGGACACACACTCATATTTGTTTAGCATTTAATTGTGGTTAAATTCCAGGTCAGCAAACTATTAGAATAAGCTTCATCTGCAGCAGTAAAACTTAACATCATTAAGTGCTGTATCATCACCTTCTCCTTGATCAGGCTGTACTTTGTCTGCAGCCCACATATGGTACCAGAAAAGCAGGTGCTAACGCTGACATAATAGCCCTAACATATTCCATTAGCAAACATTTCTCTCCCGTTGGCTGCTGTATTATCCACCCCATCCTTGGGAGGTTCCACACTCAAAGCAAAGGTAACTAGGTGGTCATGGTCACAGTACTGAGACTTGTCCCAGTCTCCCCAACTATGGAAGAAGACCATGGTAGCAATGTTGTGATACATCAACACACATACTTTCTTGTTTTGGAGGCTCTCCAGAAAAACTAGCAGCTGACATAAAAAGAGAGAGAGAGAGTAGATCTATGCACAATGTTGCAATAAAATGTTGCAATAAAACTGCATCTCTTGTTAAGGAATTTTAACCATCTCAGCCACCCTCCACAGTTTTCCATTTTATTTTCAGTCCAGTACTTAACATTTCATGACTACAAACATGGGTAAGCAAATGGTCTGGGGGCCAGATCTGCCCCAATCACCGTCTAAATCCGGCCCATGGACGGTCCAGGAATCAGCGTCTTTTTACATGAGTAGAATGTGTGTGCTTTTATTTAAAATTCATCTCTGGGTTATTTGTGGGGTATAGGAATTCATTCATCCTCCCCCCCCCCAAAAAAAATAGTCCGGCCCCCCACAAGTTCTGAGGGACAGTGGACCAGCCCCCTGCTGAAAAAAATTGCTGACCCCTGCTACAAAGCATCTTCAATTCTCATTTTATTGTTCTTTGCTGGTGAGTTTGATTACCTAAGGGTTATTGTTGGTTTGTTTAAAAGATACTATGTCCTCCTGGAAATCTCAGCGATTCCCTGAGAGTACAGGTATCTTCCTCCTGATTTTAATAGAATTTGAGTGTTAACTCAATTAAAAACTCTTGATATCAAACTCAAATAAAGATTTATCATTGGTTGGCTACCATGTAACAATATCACTTCTAAAATGACTAAAATAGATTTTGATATCTAATTTGCTGAATGTGTTAGAAAGGAGATTGTCTGAATGTATGCATACTGATCAGCTTCATTACAGGGAGATTTCTTCAGGCTACTAAGGAGAATTGTTGGTATAACTATTACACAGAAACAAAATTGCTATTCCTTGCTGACACTGAAAAGGCATTTGATGAATTAGAATGGACTTTCATGAAATGAGTGTGTCTGATATGTGTGGGTCTTGGAAGGCAAGGTTTAACTTCGTCAGACCTACTCTAAGAAAACTAACTGCTATTTTTTAAAAAACAAAACATGTTTTTATTTATATCACAATATGTATATACAGCTTACTAGAACAAATTACCTCTGGACTGTCAAAACGGTAATCCCTGTTAAATAGCTACCATTTTTCCTACACTTCTCATGCTTGATACCAAAATGCGTTCTGTGATTGACTCAGGAAACCCTAAGGCCAAGCTGCCACTCTGCGCTGGTGGAATTGTGTTTTGACTCCTCACTAGCTGTGCTTTGTTTTTGTAATAGAAAAATATACTATACATACTAATATACTATATGTTTCTTAACTGTTTCTTGCATGAGACTTGGGTTCCTCCTATGAAGTTGTAATTGAAACCTGAAATCACCTAGAGTGGTTTCTATAGCTTTTTGGGAGGCAAAAATGATTTCTTAGCCTACATCAACACCAAGCTGCCATTCTGCACTGGTGGAATTCCTCACTAGCTGTGCTTTTTGCAATAGTTTGCTGGAAGATTATACAATATGTTTGTTGAATGAGACTTGGGTTCCTTCTATGAAGCTGGGAATTACCAAGAGTGGCTTCCGTAACTGTTTTGGAAGCAAAAATAATTCATAACACATTTCAGGCAGCCCTTCACCTGAAAACTACAAGGTCATAGTAGGAGAGAAATCTAAAGAAAACTCGTGGTCCCGATGTAGATTCAATTATTGCACCATTAGTGCAATGGAGAAGGAAATGGTTGAGAGCTGTATTATCCTCATGTGGTTCAGTACCTTGAGGTTTCTGCAGCTGATGGTGAACAGAAAAAATAAGCAGTGTAAGCATTTTAAAAAGTGACAGTCTGCTTTTAGAAAATCCTGCCCCCTGGATGACATTTTCAACAGACGAATCCCAGCTAAGTCAGGGAAATTATGGACGTACAGTATGACAGCCCTATCAGAACATCAGCTGCCATGGAAGAACAGTGGGACTGTGCGCTCACTGCCAGTTTCTGGGCTTCAAATGGCATCTGAGAAGCCACTCTGAGAAACAGGATGCTTGACCAGATAGACTTTTCGTACAATCCAGTGGGCCTCTTCTTACATTCTTCTGTGACCATTCATCCTTCTCTGTCCTCTCTCCAATCCTATGGTTGGCCTCCTATCCAGCAGCTATGATGGAATTGCCACAGCACAGATTATTCTGTGTGTGACTTTAGCATTCATTCTGTTATTAGTAAGTCAGCAAACCAGGTGGCTGAGGTTTTGCTTAACAACCAAGCAAAGTGGCACGACGCTCACTGAGGTAGCGAGTGCTCTGATTGGCTATGTAGATCTGAGGGAGTTCCCCCCTGTTATGTATAATTGATAGCCTTCCTGCTATGTCCAGTGCCTGACCTAAGAAAGACAAAAGCCTCTCTGTTGCTTTCTCCTCAAGTTATACAATGTTTTGTTCTGCTTCCTCAATAAAGCGTTACCAAGATTTAAATGGCTCTGCCAACAAGCCATTCATGAAGATTTAAGGCACAGTGCGTCAAAAAAAGACACCCAGAACTCTTCATTGGGGATACATTTATTATTAAGTTTCACATCACGGAGCCACTGGGGCACAGGGAACTGAGCTATTGTTGTGTGAAACCCACATGGTTCAGTCGCAGCAGTAGAACTTCACATCGTTAAGTCCTGTGATGTCGCCTGTTCCCAACTCGTTGTCAATTCTTGTCTGAATTCCACATATGGCACCATTAGTACATTGTTGACTCCATGGACCATATGTACCCCAGTCAGTTGAACGGCCTGTCAGGACACCCGCATTTTCACAGCTGAACCTGATATTGTCAGCTGCTGTGTCATCCACGATTCCTTGATATTCTAGTACTCTCAGAGAATATGAAATTAGACGGCCTTCAGGACAAATCTCAGCCTTTGTCCATGTTCCATACCTGACAAAGATAGTGGTGTTAATACTCTGAAGAAATGTTTGCTCAAGTCACGTCTTCACCATACATTCAGTGCCCATTCAACACACATTTGAAGCATATGGCTTCCCCCAAAGAATCCAGGGAGCTTTGAAATTGAGGAAATATAGAAGGTATTGGTGGAATTTGTATTGTTATAACAAAAAAGGGGTCAAACCATCTCAAGAACTGTTAAGTTTTTGGAAAGTTGGATCTTTTTGATAAAGAATAGTCTTGGTGGTGGGGTGCACATTTTTATTTCTATTGTTATTTTGTTTTTGTTTTAAAAAAATTAAGGTTTTAAAAAAGCAAATCCCAATACATGTTATCACCTGGATAAGAAATAAGGAAACAGAAGAGACCTCTCCAAGCTTCCTTGCTAAATACTGATCTGAAATGCATCTTACAATAACTGGCTCTGTGATGGGGGAACCCAGAAGTGTGGGTTGGGGCAGGTGGAAACTGCATGGAAATTAATTCTTTAATCCCTTTTGGCTACTCTATCCAGCTTTCTCTTCTACTGGTTGCCTCTTTGCTGTCCCTTGGGAATATAGAGAATATCTTAGTGCTCCAAGAGAGAATCATCAAATTGTAGAGTTGGAAGGGATCCGAAGGGTCATCTAGCCTAGCCCCCTGCAATGCAGGAATCTCAGCTATAGCAACCAAGGCAGATGGCCAACCAACCTCTGCTTAAAAACCTTCAAGGAAGGAGAGTCCACAACCTCCCAAGAGAGAGCATTCCACTGTCGAATAGATCTTACTGTCAGAAAGTTTTTCCATATGTTTAGTCAGAATCTCCTTTTGTGTAACTTGAAACCATTGGCTCAAGAGGTACCCTCCAGATCAGGAAAAAACAAGCTTGTTCCTTCTTCCTTGTAACATCCCTTGAGATATTTGAAGATGTCTATCATATCTCCTCTAAGCCTTCTCTTTTCCAGGCTAAACATACCTAGCTCCTTCAACTATTGCTCATAAGGCTTGGTTTCCAGATCAAAATGTCAGCTCATCAGTGCTTTAGACCAGCTTCCCTCTACCTGGTGTCTTCCTGATGTGGTGGACTAAAGCTCCTGTTACCTCCATGTGTTGTCCTGTGCTTATGGGAATTGTAGTCCAAAAGACCAGGAGTACACGAGCCTGAAGAAGCCTGCCTTAGAAAAGGTGGACTTCCCAGTTGTCTCATCGTGCCTGCGCTCAGGACCAGGAAGCTTTCACAAATGGAATGGAGGTATATTTATAAACTGAATACACTGGACCCATATGGTTAGAATTCAACAATAGAATTTGCAGGATATATTTAATTGTGTTCAGCTGAGTTTGTGGCTGGTCCTTACTTTACCTTTATATTTGTGAGGCCTATTCATATTCCTTAAGGAAGGCTAACAAACAAAAGGCAGTGTGCCTCTTTTCTGTTCTTCCTTCAGGAAATATGCAAACAGGGACAGGTGCATTTTATAAGACTTTTCATATCAGCAACGGTGGGTGGTATAAATTTTATATCCTTCTGTCATTAGATGAGTTATTTTGTCATTTTTTACCCTTGTTCCAATCTAATACGGCCTACATTTTGTTACACAGGTAATGTTGCATGTATGCATTCTCTTCACATTTTATTCACCTCATATGGAAATAGATGTAGACTGGAATTTTGTTTTATTTAATTTTGTTAGCTCGATGATTAATTCCTTGGGAAGGAAATGTGATGTATACTGGAACTACATCCGAATGTTGAGCAACTGTTGATTTATGAGTGGATTCTTCTGCTATCAAGATTCAAATATATAAATGTTCACTAAGAAAAAAATTACTCCTGTTACTTTCATGGTTGTTTAGATTTCCAGCTGTGTAACAGTTGCCCGAGTAATACTATCTTTTGCTACATTGCATTTCGCTATTTTATCACATCCCAACCCTGTTGTGTTGTTGATGCACTCAGGTTTGGCAGTCCATGAGTAAGTCACCATAATTCAAGATGTATCCTCCTCAAGAACTCAGGGAAAAGGCAAGAACTTGCCAGATTTGGTTCCATACTTCTTTCTAACAACAAAGCCAAGGAATGGAATATTTAAAGCTACTCACGGTCCAACAGCAGATTGAATTTCTGAGCCATCCGTGCAAATGAGGCGGATGCCATTCAGAGATGTATCATCTCTAACGGGTGATTCTGGTGTCCAGGGCTGTACCTGGGGGAGAAGAAAAGCTGTGGTTGCAATAAGACCACATTTAAGAGCAAAGCACAGCATTTTCAGGAGGAATTTCACACAGACTAGATTGGCAGGCTGAATTTGACAGTATTGTACAGAACTTGGATGGTTTGATTTGAAAAGGATCTCGTTTGACATGCCCCAAAAGGAACTTCAGTTCAAGTTTGCCCCTTTACAAAATGAACTATTTCAGTTCACTGTTCACAGTTCAATTCAAGTTTGTCCAAATGTTCCTTGGCAAAAAAATATTTCAGCCTCCAGAAAGTCACAAGCTGTTGTGTTGAAGCATAAATTTTACTTAAGAAGACTAAGGAACCATCATTCCACACACAGCAGAATACGAATAGTTTGATTTCTTTCCCCTCAAAATTATGATATTTAAGCTTAAATGCCCAAAGGGTCCAAAGTGTAAATAACACATGTAAGAGAATGAACTTGAAGATGAACTAGAAATCTGCTTCAAAATGAACTGAATTCATTTTTCGTTCACCCAGCCATTACTTTCAGCTGTAGTTGGCATGGTGCAATATCATCATCATCATCATGTATTAAATTTCTATACCACCCTTCATCTGAAGATCACAGGGTGGTTTACAATGTAAAAAAACAAAAATGCCATTCAGAGATGTTTCATCTTTAACCTTTACTCTGTCTTTCCCTGGGTCTACCTGGGGGAGAAGAGAAGCTGTGGCTGCAATAAGACCACATTTCAGAGCAAGCACTGCATTTTCAGGAGGAATTTCACACACACTAGATTGGCAGGCTGAATTTGACAGTATTGTACATAGCTTGGGTAGTTTGATTTGAAAAGGATCTCGTTTGGCATGCCCAAACTCCCCTTTACAAAATGAACTATTTCAGTTCACTGTTCAATTCAACTTTGTCCTTGGCAAAAAAATAAAATAAAAATTCAGCCTCCAAAATGTCACAAGCTGTTGTGTTGAAGCATACATTTTACTTAAGAAGACCAAGGGACCATCATTCCACACACAGCAGAATGCAAATCATTTGATTTCTTTCCCCTCAAAATAATGATATTTAAGCTTAAATGCACAAAGGGTCCAAAGTGTAAACAACACATGTAAGAGAATGAACTTGAAGATGAACTAGAAGATCACAGGGTGGATTACAATATAAAAAAACAAAAATGCATGCCATAATAAGAAACAAAAACAATTCCCCCAACAGTTTAATTAGCCAAAGGACAGAGAAGAGGAATGCTTTTGCCACGGACCCAAATATATGTAACGGTGGTGCCAGGCAAGCCTCTCTGGGGAGAACATTCCACAAGTGAGGAGCCACCACATAAAAGGCCAGTTTCTCTGGGCCTCTTGCGGAGAAGACACATGAAGAAGAACCACAGAAGCTGAAGGCCTTAGGTGTGCCACCAGTACATTTGCCTCATAACGACCTCACCACCAAGCAACTTAGTCAGATGGTGTCAGCTGTGTCCCATTGCTGAGAGAGGGAGAGAGCATGGAGAGACAGGAGGAGGTAATTAGACAGGAATGCAGAATGAGGGAGGAGCAGCCTAGTTGCAGTAGAAGCCTGAGCTCCGAGAACAAGGAGAAGGAAGGGGGGAGTTCAAGGGGGAAGACACAGTTTAAGTTCGGACTCACAGGGAGGCCCATCCCATGACGCATAGGCTCAGAAGAATTAATGAGAGGCATGAACAGGAAAGGAAGCGAAAGTGGGGCTTGAAATGTGGGAAGAGGAATGGGCAGAACTCAGACTCGGCAACAGCTAATTTGGAAGCAGACGCTGAGTGACTGAGGTCCAGAGTGATTTGTGTGTTTTGGGCAATAAACCTGAGTTAATTACTGCCAGAGTTGTCTCGCTTCTCTGGAAGAGACCCAACCATTACAGATAGAAGGTCAGGTGAGCAGAGCAGCCCCAGGACTCTGTCTGTTGATGCTTATTGTCACAGCTACGTGGCACCAAGGTGCCTGAAAAGGAGGACACAAGGAGGTATCTACCTTCAATCTGAATCCTTTTGCATGTCCTTGGCGACAGAATTCTATGGGTCCCCATTTACCCCATGGCCCTCCATTTGGCACTGAGAGTTCTTTGTTAGTCTTTCGGGGTTGTGCATCCAAGAGGTAGCTGGAGAAGATCAAGAAGAGTGCAGTACCTATAAACAGGGCCATGGAAGGTAGCTCACCGCAGATCTAGCAACAAAAGCACAAGTGGGAAAATAATAGCCATGAGAATGTTGAACCCCAAATCCCTGAATCCTGTTTTTCACAATATGTGGTTGCTTTTGGCTGATTTTGGCTTTTCTAATCATAGTTTGATTCCTATGAGAAACCCAGGAGTTATTTGGATTACGACCAGGACAAAATTCACTAGGCAAGCAGGAAACTCTTTTAGAAAAAGTGAATGGTAGAACAATAATGGATGGGTTTTACCTAACCCCTGAGTAATTATTATTGCTTCTCAAGAATTCCTAAACATTGTTAACAAAGGTTTGTCCAAAGTGACTCACAGCAGTAAAAACCTACAAGTTTATTACTAAAACCTAAAACAGAATAGAGTCACAAAAATAAAAATAAAAAGACTCCACAATCCAACTTTCATTGCATGAGTGAGAAGCCCAATCACACCATGTGAGTCTTGAATGCCTTTCAAGATGCCTGAAGGTTAGTCACCCTTGGGTGCAGCCAGCACAGAAAAGACTCTGTAAATGATAATTTTAATATTATTACTACTGCTGCTGCTGCTGCTGCTGCTGCTACTACTACTACAACTACTACTCACCTTTTGAGAATAACAGCACAGTTGGAATTTATTATTGTTGTTGTTTTGTTTTCTTGCTTTACCTCATTCAGTTCTGGCCACTGCCTAAGCTTGTATAATTATGAACAGGAGGCAGCCCTTGTTCTCCTTTCTCCCTTCAGCAAGCTGCTTCATGCAGTGTCTCACTGCAGTCAATTATCCTATGTGGGAAAGAGTTTGAGCTGAGCTGTGTATATTAATGTGGGCAGCAACCAGGAACAGGAACATGAGATGTGGGAGTTTCCCTCCTGAGCAGTACCTGCCATGACTGGATAGAACTGGGCAGTGTAAAGCTCGTGCCTTTCTTCAAGGCACTAAAATAATTATAACAGCAACCATGGCCAAATTTAAAATGCAATATTAAACAGTCACAGGAATAGAGTGAGTCCTGAAAATATATATCTGGGGTGTCAAAGGCCAGCGTGAAGAGTCTTGTGGCATTCGGGAGCCTAAATAGACGAGTACCAAGGCTTTCAAGAACCAAGGTACAGCCATAGCCTGTGGTAGTCACCGAGCCTGCTATTTTAAATTACCCTTAATGTAATGGTACAGCTCACAGACCTATGCAGTGTATTGATGTCATACGTCGGTGGTCTAAGGCATTACAATTTAGGCAACTTAAGATGGCAGGCTGGGTAGCAACCATGATAGATACCAAGCTTATCTCCCACCTTTACTTTCTTGGGCTCCATGATCACTGCAGATGGTGACAGCAGCCACGAAATTAAAAGACGCCTGCTTCTTGGGAGAAAGGCGATGACAAACCTAGACAGCATCTTAAAAAGTAGAGACATCACCTTGCCAACAAAGGTCCGTGTAGTTAAAGCCATGGTTTTCCCAGTAGTGATGTGTGGAAGTGAGAGCTGGACCATAAAGAAGGCTGATCACCAAAGAATGGATGCTTTTGAATTATGGTGCTGGAGGGGACTCGTGAGAGTCCCATGGGCTGCAAGAAGATCAAACCTATCCATTCTGAAGGAAATCAGCCCTGAGTGCTCACTGGAAGGATAGATCGTGAAGCTGAGGCTCCAATACTTTGGCCACCTCATGAGAAGAGAAGACTACCTGGAAAAGACCCTGATGTTGGGAAAGATTGAGGGCACAAGGAGAAGGGGACAACAGAGGATGAGATGGTTGGACAGTGTTTCGAAGATACAAACATGAGTTTGAGCAAACTGCGGGAGGCAGTGGAAGACAGGAGGGCCTGGTGTGCTCTGGTCCATGGGGTCACGAAGAGTCGGAAACGACTAAACAACTAATCAACAACAATTGTCCACTTAAGGTCTAGGAGTTAGTTTTAGATATGATATGACATTGATATGATGCCAATGGCCCCTCCAAAGCTGGTGCTGACTATGCTTTAATTGACTCTGGATTCTCTACTTCTTCATTGCTGAAATGGATCCTTGAAATTGACTTTTTGAAAGCAAGGGACAGAGTGTATAACTGCTGACATTAATACAGTCGTACCTTGGTTCTCGAACGTAATCTGTTCCAGAAGTCCATTTGACTTCTGAAAACATTCGAAAATCAAGGTGTGGCTTCCAATTGGCTGCAGGAGCTTCCTACACTCAAGCAGGCATTCGGCTTCCAAGAAACATTTGAAAACTGGAACACTTCCTTCCAGGTTTTTGATGTTCAGGAGCCAAAACGTACGAGTACCAAGGCATTTGAGAACCAAGGTACAACTGTATCTGAAACATCCCAGTGCCATGACTTCTTGAAACTAACTGATGAAATTAATAGCTGAAACTAACTATAGCCACTTAATGGCTGGAACTAACTGGTGAAACTAATGGCTGGAACTAACTACAGCCATTTAATGGCTGAAACTAACTGGTGAAACTAATGGTTGAAACAAACTGATGAAATGAACTGATGAAACTAATAGTTAAAACAAGCTGGCGAAACTAACTACAGCTGTTTAATGGCTGGATCTAAGTGGTGAAACTTATGGCCAAAACAGACTTCTAAAGCTAACTGCTGAAACTAATGACCGAGATAGTCTGATACATTGTTTTTCTAAAAAATAATTTTCCGTGGAAATGAATTGATGGATTTATTGATGATTCTGAACAAATCCCTTTTCTTTTTAATGAAGATAAAATATATTTTATTTTATTTGAAACATTATAAATTATATTATATTTAACTGTTACCTAACTTTATTTAACTTTTTTGCTCTAACATAAAAACCAAGCACTGGTATTAAAATTGGGAAAATGCACTGAAGATTATACATTGTTGGTATAAGCATTTCTCTA